TAGGCCCGAAACGTCAGCCTCTCTGCTCCTATGATGCTGCTTGGCCTGCTGTGTTCATCCAGCCCTGCACCTTGTTGTCTCGGATTCTCCAGCATCTGCAGTTCCTACTATCTTTAATTCATTTCTAGTTGTTCACAATATTCACTTATTACAGTTTAGCACACTGAAATACCTTTGACTTAAAACCAAGCAATCAAATTAAATGGCCAGTCCAGAAGAGGTAAATAATTGCAACAAAAACAGAAGTTGCTGGAAAAGCTCAGCAGGTCTGGCAGCCTCTGTGGTTTATTTTTAACTGCCTTCCACAATTGCCAAGCAAGCCATCCAATTTCAGAGCAATGGGGGAGTGGATAAAAAAATGCTGACTTTCACATTGATGCTTACATTCCATGACAGAAAAAAGAAAGAAAATTTATTGCTTTGAGCATGGTGATTAATGAGTAGATATCAATTTAACATGGTTACTAACTGGCAACAGAGTTTAAGAAGAATTTTCTGTTATGGAGAGAATGTTTGGAATGCTTTCCTATAGTTACTGACCACAACAAGAACCACTGCACCTTTAGAGAGAAAATTGAATAAATACTTGAAACATGGAGCTCTGATACAGAATATAGCAGAGAGAATAGTTTTGAATTATTTATAAAGCCAGCTTAGATGCCAGAGTTCAAATAACCTCATCTGTAGACTTCTATTGCTGACCTTGCATGTGGCTGTACAATTTAAAATGTAACTTTAGCTTTGTTTTCCTTCATCTCACACTCCATTTGAAAATGGCAGAAATGCTTTTCAGTAGGACAATGCTGGAATAATTTTCTCTCATTTAGACGTTCAGTATGGCGGTCCACACGGAGCTGGATTTAATTCCCAAACAGATCAGTCTTCAGTGAGCCATCCAAACACTCCATGTAGGTTTACTGAGCTGGTGCTGCCTACTCATTCTAACTTGCCACAACAACATAGACAAACTGGACTTCGTGAATATTTTATGAAACCTGATGTAGATATCCCTGCAAACAAAACTTCGGAACCGCCCAGCCATGTGGATTTCCCGATTCTTCCTGCTCCAGAGAGTGCCAATTGCCACTCTGAGTGAGTAACATTTATATCAATATTAGCACACGATATTATGTTTGAGTCTGTTATTGTGGGGTGATTAAACAAAGTTTAATACATTTCTAGTTGTTCACAATATTCACTTGTTACAATTTAGCACACTGAAATACCTTTGACTTAAAACCAAGCAATCAAATTAAATGGCCAGTCCAGTAGAGGTAAATAATTGCAACAAAAACAGAAGTTGCTGGAAAAGCACAGCAGGTCTGGCAGCATCTATGAAGAAAAAATCAGAATTAACGTTTCGGGTCCGGTGTCCCTTCCTCAGAACCGGACCTGGAACGTTAACTCTGATTTTTTTCCTCACATATGCTGCCAGACCTGCCGAGCTTTTCCAGCAACTTCTGTTTTTGTTCCTGATTTACAGCATGCATAGTTCTTTCAGTTTTTATTTAGTAAATAATTGCGATATGGTTTGCACTGGGAACGTCATTCATAAAACCTATAATTACGCAAAACATAATCTACAGATATTTGACAGTAATTCTCTGTTCTAGAATTTTAATTCAGCATTCAAAAAAGAGGAAGCGTTCAGAATTATGTGAGAATACCATTGAGATGTGGAATGATATTCAAAGTCAAGAAGGCAATAGTAGGTATATTCAGGATGTTTTGATGTTTTAAAATTTTTATTTGTATTTGCCAGCAAATTTGAACTTCTTGAATAAGATATTTATAAAGTAGAATTAATGTTATTAAAGTTTAGACTATTTAACTTGATTTAATTTAGAATTAATTTTAGAAAGTTAGCTGTATCTCTTCAAATGATTATTTGGTCAGTGACAGTGAAATGACCAATGTATGTAACTGATCAGATCCATCTGTATAATCCCTGAGAGGAAGCTAACTTTTATTCCTGAAGTTCTGTGCACAGTTTGAAAATGGATTAGGTTAAAGATTACTTGCTGAGGTGGGTATTCTCCCTTTGCAAAGCTAAAATATAGATATAGACAGTGTTTATTATTCAAGGGGGATTTTTTCATAAGAAACAAGTGTGGATGAGTTGGACTGAAGGGTCAGTTTCCGTGCTGTATGACTATGACTTTATAATTGTTGATCTCTCAATATTAATGATGTCTGTAGCATTTTTAAGAATAACAGGATGTGGGTGTGGCTGGCTAGTCCAGCCTTTTATTGCCTATCCCTAGTTGCCCTTGGTGGTGAGCTGCAGCCTTGAACAAATGCAGTTCATCTGCTGTGGGTAGACCCACAATGCTGTTAGGGAGGGAGTTCACGATGTAACATGATGGATTTCTCTTTAGGGTAAATTACAATTCTGAACTTTAGTCTGGTTCTTGCGTGCTATCTGAAACAGACAGGAATTCTGAGCCTCTCATTGAAATATTACATTGTGAAGTCCAGATTACATTATTAACTGTTTATTTTCATTTCTAAAACTCTTTTATCAAAATTAGATCAAACTTGTAAAAACCACGTTAACTCTGATTTTCTCTTCACAGATGCTGCCAGACATGCTGAGCTTTTCCAGCAACTTCTGTTTTTGTTCTAGATCAGAGTTGTCTTGCTTATCAGGACATTTGATTTTTAAAAATTCTAATAAAAACAGGGAATGTAGACAGCCACTATCTCGCATAATAACATATTTGGGAGGAAGCATTCTAGATTAATACAAATGCTTTATTTTTATTGCAATGTCTACTGCTTCATGTATTATCTTGTTAACAATACTGGTTTCTAGTTTTAGCATGTGTAATAGTGTGATTATACAACATCTACTACCTCTTTAGAATGGTCAGATGATCTTCAGTGACCAATATCTCAAAATAATTTTTAATCCTTAGGCAATCTGTCTATCGGATGGCAGGCATAAGTACAAAGCTTCCAGTTCACAGGAAATTTGGCCTGACCATGGGACCCCAATGGATCATTTGTGAACATGATGTAATTTAATAGTGTAACAATTGTGGATACCTGAATGTAAATCAAGATTTATTCTTGGAATAGTTTTGTTCCTTGATACACTATAATTCCACAGTGCTAGCTCGCCTCTTGTTCTGCTTGTGTTTGCCTAGTCATAATGTGAAATTAGACTTGGTAACAGCCATTTGTCAGATGATACAAGTATTCATAGGGATCCAAAATGCTATCTACTATCCATATACAAACTTGTGATGTATAGCTTGTCAGAAGTTGTTTTGGTAAATGGATTAGAGAGCACACCAGGAAAATGAATAGATCATTACATCAATTAGTGTGACATGCTGTTTTGACACTTGCTTAGCTCTTTTCTAGCCCCATACTTCAGTCTTTTATCTTTCCTCAGCCAAAAACAATGTTAAGCAAGCTGAATGATCCGCTATCCCTCACCAGTACTGTTTAATTGCTGGTTTATTGCTCATATTTTGCCATAATTCTCCATATTTTTGGTGCTTTCCATTATTTTGTTTTAATGTTCAGAAGTCCATATGAAGTGTAGTGGCATGTGATAAAATATTCCTCTGCTGAATTAAAGACTTCTGCCCAAACTAATTGCTTCCATACATTGGTTGAATTTGTAGGTCCTTTCCCTTAGAATCAAGCATGATTGGGAGAATGACCAGTGGAGCCTAATGGCAGCGTTAGCTGTTAGGAAGAGGAGGCCATATCTCCATGGTGTTTAGGGTGCAGTTTTCCTGCCTGTACCTAATTAACAACTGATGTTTGAGATGCTGCTGTCCACTAAGGAGATTATCACTGAAATCTGCTAACTGCTACATTTACAACTGTAACCTCAGCTGCTCAAGGGCTGCATTGCTAGTGGCTGTAAACTTCTAAATACTTCACTTGCAGGCTGGTGATGGAGAGGTGAGCAGCATCTCTCAGTTTACAGTGTGATGGTAGGCAACCATCATGCATCCTCCTGACTTCTCTTTCATACTTTGATGCTACAACCCAGTGGTGTAGTGCACCATAAACTGGGCCCCTCTATTACTTCAGCCGGAGCAAATATTAAATGCACAATATCCCAATTTGCCTGACTTTTAGATCAAAGCTGACAGAAAGCATGGACCAGGTTTTTGTACTGAACAAGAATTATATTTATTTCAACTAATCAGATCATAGCTACAGCTAAACAGGTATAAACCATTGGCATAAAATACTGCTAATTTAACGCAACAGCACAGTGGCTCAATGATTAGCACTGCTGCCTCAGCACCCGGAACCCAGGTTTGATTCTACCCTTGGATGGTGTGAAGTTTGCACATTCTCCCCGTGTCTGTGTGGGTTTTGTCTGGGTGCTCCAGTTTCCTCCCACAGTCCAAAGATGTACAGGCTAGGTGGATTGGCCATGCTAAATTACCCATAGTTGTCAGGGATGTGTAGGTTTGGTGGGTTATAGGGGATTGATCTGGGTGGGATGTTCTGAGGGTCGGTGTAGACTGGTTGGGCTGAAGGACCTGTTTCCACACTGTAGGGAATCTATGTTTCTATGAAAACTCTCACTGAGACACTCAGACAATAATGAAAATAAATTTAGTGGAAATAGAAAAGCTGTGTAAAGTTGGTTCAATGGTCTTTGATTCATGGTTCTAATGATGGGATAATCATTCATTGGCTGGCCAGACTTGTACTTTTCTAGATGGTTTCACTAGTTTGTAAGAAGTACAGAGTGGCTAACTCACTCAGAAATTGTCTCTGATTAGTCGATTCAAAAATCACAGCTTACAGCAATCGCAGGCCAGGCAGCATCAGAGGAGCAGGGAAGCTGACGTTTCGGGTCTGTAAGTTGTTTCCAGTTCCTGCCTACTCAGCTGAGAACCAATCAGCTTTAAACAATGCCTTGGTTCCTGATCATCTACCCACTTACAGGAACCCAAGCCACACAAAAAAAAAAAACAGGGTTCACAACAGGTATGAAATACCTTGCTGTGAAATTATGCAGCCATCCTGGTAAATCTTGTTTTGAAAACAGTTTTTTCTCATTGGAGTCCACAGTTTTTAAAAGACAAAAAAGTAAAAAGACATGACCTGCACACAGATTTTGCAAGAAGCTCCGATCATTTCTTGCTAACCTGGCCAGTGGTTCAACTACAGTTAAGCACTTGTAAACTACATTCACCAGCATTTCCTGACTTCTTTGTTATTCGTAATCTTCACCCATATGGATTCTACTTTCCTGATCTTCTCAGCCAATGTCCTTTCTTGATATTGCCATGTCATTAGCGCAAGGCCCTTGTTGCCTCGCTTTGGTTTGCAGTGATAATTAAAATATTGATGACACAATGGACTGCTGCAGAATGAATATGTAATTAATTGATTTATCTATTGCAGACAATTAATCTAGTCTATCACTTGAAATATTAAAATTTGAATATTCATTTTTATTTTCTCAATAATAGATTCTAGAGAACATAGCACCGATATCCATAGTTATGATGATGACAGTCAAAATGGAGTTTGCATGGACTGGAGCTATCCATGTTTGAAATGGCACCATTTTCAACCTAATCATTGGGCAACTTTGTATGACAGTAGTTACAATGAATTGTAAGTACCCATTACGTATTTATGTTTGACTTACAACTTTAAACATTTTTTCAACAAATCTTGCAAGTAGCACAGATGTTGAAACAATATACCCAGACTTTGCTTTAATAATATTATGATGTTTTCAACATCACCATCATTATTGGATAAAATTAACATCAACTTCGGGGGTCTGCATATGCATTATTAAATGTGGAAATACAGATGTTGCTGCCAGAGATGACAAACTCCATCACAGGGTACATTATTGCAAGATCACTGATTAAGTTAACATTAAATCGCTGCTGAATGGACGAACCTAAAAGGATTATTTACCTTATTTACTTTCATAATAACACTGCCTTTGCTATAAGCTCCAATTGTTTCTTGCTTTATCTGTCCAATAGTTTAACTGCAGTTAGGGGCTTATGAACTACATTCCCCAAAATTTTCTGACCTTTCTTGTTATTCCTAACTTTCACCCATATTGATTCTGCTTTCTTGACGTTCTTGGCCAAAGTTACTTTCAAGTGATGTGACAAATGAAGCAAGAGTGTTGTGAGAAATAAAAAAACCTTTTCACACAGCAAGTAGTTAGGGTATAGAATATACTGCCTGGACGTGTGGTGGAGGCAGGTTCGGTAGAGGTATTCAAGAGAGCATTATGTTAAGACATGGAGATAGGCAGCCAAATCGAATCAGCCTCCCTACCCCTGCTTTTGCAACACAGTAAAATTGAAATACAATGACCCTCAAAATTGAACCCCTTAGCTCCTAACCAGATTGTTTGAATAACTAGTACCAGACTGTGAATAATCAAGAAATAAAATAAGTAACAATTTATTAATAATAGTGTTTTTAGCAGAGCAAGGTTAAACCACAAGGTAATCTAATTAATGTCTCTGATTTTAAAGTCAATCTTCTTTGAGTCTAACTCCCCCTGCTGGAAAGTCAAACAGACAGTTAAGGTAAAAAGCAAATGAAAAGTAAATGGGATGTAATTGGCCAGTTCATGATCTATAATCTCACAGACACATGGGATTATGTCTTGCTTGGTTTCTGAAGACATTGGTCAGTAGAAAGAGCTTCCAGTAGGGTCCGAGGAATATTTACATATAACTGAGATTCTGTCCTCTGAAACTTTTAATAATTTGATAATGGAAAGACAACCAGGGAACGACTAAAACTCTGTTATGTAGTTTTGGCAGGAACAACCCTTCTGACTTAAACACCGTTCAAAAACTTGGTTAAACTGTTTGCCTCCCTATGAGGTCCCTGTTAACTTTCAAACATCTGCCATCTGTTGAGGCATAATGCATCTCTGGAACCAAAATATCTAGAACATTGTTTGAGCAAGAATCAACCTGCAATTAACTTCCAGGCCTGGCCTTGATTTTTTTTTTAAATAACAAACTGCTGCTCAGAGTCCAAAGATCACCTTCATCTCTCAGCTCACAGCTCCAAACCAAAAAGGATTTTAAGAAAAATGAAAAATCAGGATGGAAATGGGGAAAAGACTGGAAACTGGCATGAGATAATAGAACTAGTGCAAGCACATTGGACTGAATGGCTGCCATCTGTACTGTAACGATTCTGTGATATCTCTATTTTCACTAAACAAATCAATGAACAATTTGAGATAACAAGGTGTAGAGCTGGATGAACACAGCAGGCCAAGCAGCATCACAGGAGCAGGAAAGCTGACATTTCGGGCCTAGACCCAATTTGAAACTTGTTCATGAGGTGCCCAACCATCAGCGCAAAAAGTAAGATAGAAGCATTTGCATCCTCCTTCCGCCAGAAGTTCCAAGTGGGTGATCCGTCTCAGACCATTCCTGAGGTCCCAATATCAGAAACACCAATCTTCAGCCAATTAAATTCACTCCACTCCATCTGTGGGAATTCTTCAATTGGATTGGTTGATCAGTTTCCTTCTGCCTGCCCTGTTCCCGGTCTCAACAGATCCCCTGTGATTGAATTCACACTCTGTGAAGAGAGATACTGCACAGTAGAACATTGTATAACTTTATGAACATTATTTTTCGAGTTAAAGAGAGTGCTGGTCTTTCACTGCTGACCACAAAACCTGGGCCATTACTTGTGACCTTTGGAAACATCATAGTATAATTCTTATATTTTCAATTTCAATGTCAGGTTCTTGCTGCTTGCTAGCGCATTTTCTTTTTATTATTTTAGCCTACCACTTAAAGCTTTTAAGTCTAAATGTAAGACTGTCAGCTGTTGATCTATGCCTTTAATATAATGTTAAACTTTAATAATTAGACTAAGGAGTACAAGAAAAATTACATTTATCTGGATCATCTTTTGTATATTGGTTTTGAAAAACAGATCATAGCTCGAGGAGTTGCTTGAATCTTGATGATTATTGCTACAAAACATTTAGAAAACATTTTGTTCAATTTCATTAAAATCATTTCAAGTTGTTTTTTGTTATGATTAGGATTATTTATTTACACACATCATCTTTTCACTTCTTGTCTTTGTCTTTATATTTAGACCTGCTCCAGGCTATAGAGTAGATGCGGACAAAGGATTTAATTTTTCTACAGTAGATGATTCATTTGTTTGCCAAAAGAAGAACCATTTTCAAGTCACAGTTCGTGTCGGTTTGATTGGATGTCCAAAATATGTTAAAACACCTCTGGGCCTTAAACCTGTTGAAACATTCTTCTTGAAGGTTTTTGGAGCAAAGGCAAGTTTCAAAATTATATTTGCTTTGGCAGTTGATTTAACTTGTTTGCAATTTCTCCTTGAGCTTCTGTGCTGGAAGGAGAACGATACATATTTCTCCAATCCCACCACATGACTGATGTCTTTCATCAGTGACACCATTCTAGTAAACTTCTGCTTCTGTCCTGAAGCCTTGCTCAGTTAGTTGAGGCCTAATCAACATTTTAAAAAGATTTAACATAACTTGTTTTTATTAATGAATGGTAAAAATATGCAGACCTTGTGGGGAGAGAAAAAAGTAGAAGAAGTGAAGTTGTTCTATGAACTAACCTAAACTGAATCCGATCTATTATTATTTATGGGAAATTGAAGGCAAATCAGCACCAACTGCCACATTTGGAAAATATTCATTGTTTTTCTGTGAACTGAAGAGATGGTAAAGTTTCTGTTGTCCTACATGCTTATGAGGCTTTTAAACTGAAATAATAAGAACCTGCCAACTCAAATGGAGTTGGGCAAGAACTTTGGAAGTTGATTTAGCAAATCTTCTGTGATTTCCAAGCAGCTGTAAAAGAGAGAGGAAGTATCTTCCTACAATTTTCATCTGATTGGGCTAGCTGAGAAGAATTCTTGTGTGCACCTGACGTTCAGTGTTGCTATGGGTGACAGAAGGTCATTTTGAGAGTGAAAGAGTTGCAAAGCTTATTCACTCGATTCTGGAGTGATCAATTGCATGGTGTGTAGACATTTTTGAACACTATTTGAAGAATAATTTACGAGACTACTGGCTACATTTTGTTGTAGCTGGTCTCTGCTGTGTAAAGCAACAAATTTCTGGCGACCCACCCGAGAAGCAGACTCCCCTGACTCTGTTGTCACCACCCTCGAAACTAGACTTTCACGTCATTACTTTCAAAACAAAAAATCCTCACATCCCTTCTGTGTGTCTTCCCCAAAATCTTACATTATCTCCATCCCTTACAATCCCAGCCCTTGTACTGGGAACAACATTTCTTTGCCTGTTTTATCTAAACTTTTCATGTCAAAAAGTTGCCTAAACAAAATTATCCTTATTCCTTGAAATTAGTTGGTGCTATGTGCTTGGTGACTTAGCAGATGCAGGAATATTAAGAGTTTATACAAGTGGAAAATTCTGATCCACAGTGATCTCTAAATCAATAAATTATTTTTCTTTCTGACCATTTCTTTTTGCTCATTGAAATGCTCCAGTACAGTCGCTGAAAACAGTAACATATGCAGTCTTGGCTATCTCGTCTGGATATCCCCTGCAGTTTTATGGTATATTTCTGTTTATCCTGAACCCCATTTATTGAAAGAAGCCTGTCTTCTCCTCCTTGAAATCCATTAAAGATTATTGTTTGGAATGCATGCTGATAATTTGTTCCACACAATTAGCAATTTTTGTTTTTTAAACAAAAACATGTTTCTGTATTTTCTATTTTGTTTTGTTGTTCTTAATTTGTAAAACAAATGTAAATTACTCTTTGCACTTGAGTTCTATACCTGGTAGAAAACAGTACTTGAGAATCATTACCATGGTTGCAGAAGACCATTCAGCCCATTGAATCCATGCCAGCTCTTTCAAGCAATCCAACGTGTCCTATAATCCCAACTGTATCTCTGTAACTGTGCAAGTTGTTTTCCTCAGGTGCCTATTCAATTCATTTTCGTAAATCATTCAAGGTTTTACCTGATGCCACCCTCATAGCCAGTAACTTCCAGATCATTCTCACTCATTTCCTCTTCTGTTTTGAAAAATTGGTCCTTCCCATCCCTATTGTACATTTTGCTAAAAACCTAACGTAGAAGCATATAAAATAGGAGCAGGAGTTGGCCATTCAATAAGATCGTGGCTGATCATCAAACCCAATATCCTGTTCTCTTTTTCCTCGTACCCTTTGATCTCTTTAGCCCTAAGAACTTTATATAAATCCTTCTTGAAAACATTCAATGTTTTGGCCTCACTTGCTCTGTGGCAGAGAATTCCACAGGCTCCCTGCTCTCTGTGTGAAGAAGTTTCTCCTAATCTTAGTCCTAATCGGCCAACCCTGTATCCATGAACTGTGAGCCTTTCTTCTGGGCTCCCTAGTGATCTGGAACACTCTTCACATTTACCTGGTCTAGTCCTGTTAGAATTTAATAACTTTTTAGGAGATGCCCTCTCATTCTTCTAAACTCTGGTGTGTTTGGTCCTATCTGATCCAATCTCTCTTCATATGCCAGCCCTGCCATTCCAGGAATCAGTCTGATAAACCAGCATTGCACTCCCTCCATAGCTAGAACATCTATTCTTTAGATAAGGAGGCCAAAACTGCATACAACACTCTTCCCAAGGCCCCATACAACTACAGCAAGACATCCCTGCTCCTGTCTTCAATCCTCACTTTGTGAGCACCAACAAAGCATTTCACGTTTCACCTTTCCTGTCTACTGCACCTTCGTGCTTACTTTCAGCAACTGGTGTGCAAGAATGCCCAGATCTTGTTGCAATTCCTCCTTTCCCAATCTATCTACATTCAGATAGTAATCTGCCTCCCTGTTGTTTGTTGCCAAAGTGGATAACCTCACATTTATATAAATTATACTTCATCTGCCGTGCATTTGCCCACTCACTCAATTTATCCAAGTCACACTGAAGCATCTCTACACCCTCCTCACAGCTTACCCTCCCACCCAGCTTTGTGTCGCCAGCAAGCTAGGTGACATTGCATTTAGTTCCCTAATATAAAACATTTATATATATTATTGTGAATAGCTGATGTTCAGCATTGATCCATTCAGTACCCAACTCTCTCCACTGCCTGCCACTTGGAAACTCTCTGTTTCTCTTTGCCAACCATTTCTCTAACAATGTCAGTAAAGTACTCTCAATCCCATGCACTTCAATTGTACATGCTAATCGATTATGTGGGACCTTTTCACAAGCTTTCTGAAAGTCTAAGTCCAAGCCATATCCACTGGCTCTCCGTTATCAGTTATGCTAGTTACATCATCCAAACATTGCAGTAGATTTGTCCAGTACAATTTTGCTTTCATGAATCTATGCTGACTCTGGCCAATCCAGTCACTATTTTTCATGTGCTATGCTCTGAAATTTTCTGTAATGGACTCCAGTAATTTCTCCACTTCTGATGTCATGCTAACTAGATTACAATTCTGTGTTTTATCTCTACCACCTTTTCTAAAAGGGGAGTTACATTGACTACACTCCAATCCATAGGAATTGTTCTAGAATCTTGAATGATGACTATCAATGCATCCATATTTCTAGGGCCACTTCCTTAAGTACTCTGGAATGTATTGGGCTCTGGCGATTTATCTGCCTTTTATTCCATTGATTTTCCAATATAATTCCCCTACTAATACTGATTTCCTAGACCATGTGTTCCCCAACGTTTATGGGATATCATTTCTGTCCTCCTTTGTGAAGATAGAACTAGAATATGTGTTTAACTGGTCTGTCATCTTTGTTCCCTATTATAAATTCCCTTGTTTCTGACTGTAAGGGATCTATTTTTGTCTTCACTGATATTTTACTTTTTATATACAATCTGATTATAAAAGCTTCTTAGATGTGTTCCCTGTAACCTTGCCCTCGTACTGTTTTTCCCTTCTTAATCAACTCCTTTGAACCCCTTTGCTGAAATCTGAGCTGCTGCCAATCCTCAGATCTGCTGCTTTTCTTGGGCCAATTTGTGTGCCCCTTCCTTGGATCTAATATCACCCCTAACTTCCATTGTTAGCCATGGTGAGCAACCTGTCCTTTTTTGTTTTTGTGGCAGACAGGAATGGACAATTGTAGTTTGTCCATGTGCTGTTTAAATGTTTGTCATTGTCCATCTACCATCATCCCTTTAAGTAACATTCCCCAATTTATTATAGCCAGCTCATTGTACCATTGTAATTTACATTCTCTTTAGAGCAGTATCAATTTTCCCTTTACCAATTCTCCTAATGGTAATCTGCCTTGAACTTCGACAAGCTCCCTTCTATGACCTTTCTTGTAGCTGTAATACTTGTTTCAATCTGCATCAACTTTCAACTGTAACCATAATTCTAATATTTTTCTCTACATTTCTTTTGCAAATAAACTAAAAGTACTTCAATTTCATTATCTTCAGACACCATTACCTCGTTAGCATTTTTTAAGTGGGCCACTCTGCACTCTAATTACTTTTGCCATAATTTGCTATTTATGTTTTCAGCTAATTTTTCCTGTGTAGCTTTGTAATATTTCCTTTCATACTTACAACTAAAGTATTACAGGATTTAAACTTCTGTTTGCAGGCTGAGACCACAAATCAGATCATCACCATTGAACAGTCTCAATCAGACCGGAGCAAGAAACTTTTTGATCCAGTCAGGTAAAATGCTTCATATAGAAGCCTTTTTTTTGAGTTGTATGACATCATAATTACCTTTCCAATTTATGCTAAAGCCTTGATTATACAGAAAAACAGTTGCAATCGGAGCTTACATTTTGTTTTAAAGAGTAAGCCATACAGCAGTTTCCAGCAATGAATTTGTGACATTAAATGCACAAATCAGGAATATCTTGTCTATTTTGGCCTGCTCCTAAACTACAGCAGAGAGCAGAATCTCTCCGAGACTGAAGTGTGATGTATGAATTTAAAGTATTCACTGACTAGAAGCTCATTGGAAGAATTTGTCCGTTCAAGTCTGAACAGTCTGTTAAGTCCTCTGTAACTTATCTCCTCTTGAAAAAATCAACATTTTACACATCTGGAATCTCATCCTTTCAGTTTTTAGTCATTACTGGAGATTTAATGGAAATTTTAGAAATACTTTTTTCTGTCTCTTTGATCCATCTGACATTTCCTTTCTGTCACTTTCTTTACAAGATTCAGGGGGAAACAGTTGCAGTGTGAAAATGTCAGTGGGCTAATAATCCTGAGCTTTAAGTTGATATTCTGAGAACATGGGTTCAAATCCCAATAATGATGAAATTAGAATTCAATAGAAACCTAATGGTTACAACGTAATCACTGTTGATAGTTAGAGATCTGGTTAACTAATATCTTTTAGAGAAAAAAGGGTGCTTTTCTTACCCCGTCTGGGTGGCGCGGTGGCTCAGTGGTTAGCACAGCTGCCTCACAGCGCTAGGGACCCAGGTTCAATTCTCCTTCTGCTGACTGTCTGTGTGGAGTTTGCACATTCTCCCCGTATCTGCGTGGGTTTCCTCCCACAGTCCAAAGATGTGCAGGGTAGGTGGATTGGCCGTGCTAAATTGCCCGTAGTACCCAGGGATATTTAGGTTAGGTGGGTTAGACATGGGAAATGCAGGGATAGGGGAATGGGTCTGGGTGGGATGCTCTTCAGAGGGGTGGTGTGGACTTGTTGGGCCAAATGGCCTGTTTCCACACTGTAGGGATTCTACAATTAAATGCAACTCCAGACCCACAATAACACAATTGACTTTTAGCTGCCTTCTGGGCCAAGTGAAGCCCACATCATAAAAACACATTTTAAGACACACTTCTTGATCAAGACTTGATGAGAGTTCTTCAATCCTATTGGATAATAAGACTCACCTTTAATTATGCTGTTCACATATCTAAGATTCCTTGTAGAGAGCGTTTGTGCTTTTTTTGAATGTCTATTGGTTGAAGCTTATGATAAAAAATTCTGCAGACAAGCGTAATTGATTAGAATCATTCACTTGCCGCTCACTACAAAACCAAACACAACAGAATTACTCCAAATAAAATAAAGTACAATTTTGGTACCTAGTACTTAATAATTGCTGATACCAGAAGCAATGCAGCATTTGGTTTATAATTTGCTGAGCAAGCTGGGGTTATTATCCATAGTTCCCAATTCTGCTTGGGTTCTGTTAACTGCAATGTCTCCTTACGTTTGTGAAATGTTGCCAAGTTGTAATAGAAATACTTGTGACAAAAGGCTTTGTAGAGCACCTGTGCTCGGTTCGTGACAAACGACAACACCTCCCAGTCACGACTTCAACTCCCCCTCCCACTCCCTGGTCGACATGTCCATCCTGGGCCGCCTCCAGTGTCACAACACCACCACCCGGAAACTGGAGGAACAGCACCTCATATTCTGCCTTGGGAGTTTACAACCCAATGGTCTCAATGTGGTCTCAATGAGCACTTCAGTTGCTTCAAAATCTCCCCACCAGCCACCTCATCCCATGACCAACCCTCCCTCTCATCCCTGCCTCCTTGACCTGTCCGTCTTTGCTCCCACCTATCCGCTCCTCCCACCTTACTGACCGACCCCCACCATTGCCTACCTGTACTCACCTATCGCCAGCCCACCTACCTTCCCCAGCCCCACCCCTCCTCTGTCTATTTATTTCAGAGCCACCTACCCCTCCCCCATTTCTGAAGAAGGTTCCCGACTCAAAACGTCAGTTTTCCTGTTCCTCTGATGCTGCCTGGCCTGTTGTGTTCCTCCAGCTCCACACTGTGTTATACTCTTGTATCTGTATGATTCTATTGTAAACAGGTTAATATCCAGGTCGATTCAATGCTGTAAATCTGCAAGTTTTTGTTAAAGTAGTATTTTAGATAGAATATCTAACAATTAGCTTGCATTTTACACAGAAACTTTCATGGTTTATACTGAATTCAGTGTTTTTTCTTGAAAAAGGATTGATTTGCCAGGAAACCAAAGCACAAAAGTAACTTTAGGAAGATTGCACTTTGGCGAAACAACAGCAAACAACATGAGGAAGAAGGGTAAACCTAATCCTGATCAAAGGTATATGTGATCTATATATAACAAAATATAGAGACAGCATCGATATGTTATTTGACACTCTGTATTAATTACAACCTTAAAGGAAGGTCAACAGAAAGTATTGCTGATAAACTTGTTGGGCAAATGTTTGTTTGCATCTCAATTTTTGTCTTTTCAATATTAATAATTTTGAAAAATGATCACTGATAACTCATTGTAATGGCCAATGTTTAATAAAGAAAGGATGTATTTCTAATCAGACTTTCTCCTTTTTTAGATACTTTATGCTAGTAGTTGGTCTGTATGCTGCCAGCCAAAACCAGAATTATTTATTGGCTGCTCACGCATCTGAAAAAATAATTGTGCGGGTAAGTATGATGAAATTCAGCTGCATTTACCAAAATAACTTTGAATAAAATAGAAAATTATATAAAATTATTTTCGTAGCTAAAACTTAAAATTGGATCACTTGTATCACGTTCATCAAAAGGCAAAAACATAATGAAATGACTGACAACAACAGCTGTCAAGACTTTTTAAACAAAATTTCAATCTTTATCACATTATTATGGTTGAACACAAGTGTATATTTTTAAACCATATTTATGTTTGTGTTAGTCATGTCTAATAGCAGTTAGTTAGGGCCAGCGCAAGTCCTGACCCATTTGGGAAAGTGTGTTGATTTTTATATTTCAAAATTATACTTTATTCATAAAATATCTTCATATATGTACAAAGCCACAAACGCAGTTTGGTTCTGCATAGTAGCATATCAAGGAAACTTGAATGCGATTACTCCCAGCGTCATGAAAAATGTTACAGGATTTATCAAATTACACAAAGTCCTCATCTTCCCTCTCTGATGAACTCAGGTTAACAGAAACCGTTGACCGGATTTCTGTATTTACCCAAAACTATTTATTATAAATAAATCAGTTCTAACCATGGGCAAACAAAATATGAATTATCAACTTATAACTCTACCCCTTTTTAAATCTCTACACACATGCAGATAGGCAATGAGAAATAGAACAAACATAGATGGTATTGGTTGAGAAAAAAACTGTTAGAAGAACAGAGTCCAATAGCACCAGTTCATGGGATTTGATGAGTTGTCCATTTGCTTCTTCAGAGTCTATGACTATTATTCTTCGTCCTTCTAGTGTCTGATCTTATTCTTCCAAGTCCTTTCAATTCTTTCCTGCAGACAGAGGGCAGTTGGCATACCAATTGTTCAGTATTTCCATCAGTGGTTACAAGTAGTAGCTAATAAGCAAACGGTGAGTGAGAACAGCTAGCTATCTTCCAGTTCTTTATTACTGTTCTGTATGGAAAGAGACGTGCTGTCTTTTTAGAAGTCTTTGAGGCTTTCTGCTGCAGTAATGTTCACCTGTCCAGGAGCCAGTCTGAAATGTGTTGTCAACCAGTCCTGGTTGAAAGAAACAACAGTCTGCCTTTGGACAAAACTGCCCTGAACACACACTGATGAGTCTCCAGCATCATCTCCTCTCTGTACCTGTCTCAATACCTGGAGGAAGGCAACACTACAAATACAACTCCCAATGAGTTCCAGTAACTTGTTGTAAAACTGCAACATTTCCTTCCCCAATTTCCTTGGTAGATCAGACAAGTGAACAGGCAGACCCAGCATGACTTTGTCAATGAGAAATCCTGTTTAACTAACTTATTCGAGTTCTTTGAAGAAATAACTTGTCCTGTGGATAAAGGAGAACCTGTGGTTTCATTGCGCTTAAATTTCCAGAAGGCATTTGATGTCATGTTAAAGGTCATGTTGGGGGTAACAAATTGGCATGGATAGGAGATTGGCTAGTTAAATGAAAGCAGAGAGTCTTCTTCAGGCTGTTAGGACGTCACAAGGGGTGTGCCGCAGGGATTGGTGCTAGGACCTCAACTCTTTACATAAAAATGATTTGGATGAAGGGACCAAAGGCATTGTAACTAAATTTGCTGATGACACAAAGATAGGTTGGTGTTGCCCTCATTTAAGACATAGAGGAGGAAACATTTTCCCTTTGAGGTTTGAGAGTCTTTGAGATTTCCTTGCTCAAAAGCAGTGTTGCAAAGTCTTTAAATATTTTGAAAACTTAAGTGGATAGATTCTTGATTAACTAGAGAATGAAAGATTATCAGGGATATATAGGAATACATAGTTGAGGTTAAAATCAGATCAGCCATGATCATACTAAATAATAGGGAAGGCACGAATTATAGAGTTGCTTGTTTATAAGTTTGTAAGGCTGAATCCCTTTCCCATTTTGCTCTACAACTAGAGTAAAGAAAAACTAATGTATTTACAAACAACACTGTGGTATTAGTCAGGATTAATTTTGCTGCTTGGTGCAATGAAAGAAAATCACTTCTGCATGTTATGAAGTCTTATCTTGAAATGTTACTGTCGTTTCATTGAAAGAAAAGATAGCAATGGTCTTGTAATTTAATTTTACACGTAAAACAGGTTATCTAAAGTTGTACAAAATTATTCCTGGTTTACTTATGTCTTGATATAATATCTAAAGCTCCTGTTCAGGAATTTGAAGATTTGTACTTTGACATCTTTCAGGCTTCAAATCCTAGTCAATTTGAAAATGAACGTGTGGGGTCATGGCAACAAGGGAATGCTCCTAACACAATTATCTGCCACGGTCAAGTGGGAATCAATACAGATACTCCAGATGAGGCATTGGTTGTGTGTGGCAATGTAGAGGTAATGGGATCAGTCATGCATCCATCTGATATGCGAGCTAAACAGAACATTCATGAGGTGAGTATGCATTGAATGTACAAAGAAATTCAGATTTTCTTCTTCAGTGCAATTGTCAGCTATTAGAACAAGGGCATTTTCTCTCTTTCCCTTTCCCTCACATTCTAATCTACTTTACTGAAGAGTAAGGTCATCAGAAACATTTTTTGGTAGGTTTCTGGTGGCACATGCATCTGAGAGAGCTTGCTATTAGGGAAGTGAAAAATTGTTGTTGCTGCTACTGTAAGGGGTTAGACAGCTTTGCTCGGAGGAAGAAAAATGTGAATCTTTTAAAGTGCTCAGAATTTCATACCTTACAATCACTTTTGCCAGTGCTGTCATGGAAAGCTGTCTTTGCGTGACTTCTACAAAATGTAAGGATCTGATCCATTGCAAGTATTTTATCGTGTAGGTTGATACAACAGAACAACTAAAACGGATAACACAAATGAGGCTGGTGGAGTACGATTACAAGCCTGACTTTGCATCAAAAATGGGAGTAGACCATCCTCATGAGACTGGTAATATGGCTCAGTTTTATTAAGTATTCTGAAAATATTCAATGGAGTATCTTATTTTCATGCTATTGTAACTGTTAATTTGGTGTGATGGGCGCATGTAAAAGCAAATACAGTAAGTGACATATATGACTACAGGCACCAGTGTGATAAACATTTAACTAGTAAATAGGACAGACCACAAAACTATTGTGTGTAATCTGTCTTTGCTTGTCTAATGGTTGCATTATTGGCATATCACAACAGGAAACCATAGTAGGTTGGGGTTATAATGATCATAATTTCAATGGGGCTAGAGGGACAGAATTACTAATTCCCATTTCTACACGTGAGATATTTAATGTTCAGGGATCACTTGCTTTATGTGCATTATCAATTATAATTGTGTCATAGTTTTGTGTAATGATCTAATTTAGTTTCATCTTATTTGATGATTATGATATCACTCATATTTTTCTAAGTAGGGTCATATTATCTGCATCCCAAGGTCAGAAGTGAGAATGTTCACTGATAATTGCACAATCTTCAGCACCATTTGTGATTTGTTAAATACTGAAGCAGCCGAGCTCCATTTGCAGCAAGACCAGACCGCTTTCAGGCTGGGCTGTTGAGTAACAAGTAACATTTGCACCACACAAGTGCGAGGCAATAACTATCTCTAACGAGAGAAGCAAACCATTTCCCTTCACTAAATCCCCCGCTATAAACATGCTGGGGTGGGGGAGGGGAACAGGGCATTACCATTGACTAGAAACTGATCTAGACCAACCATATGAGACCATTGGTAAAGTGCAGACTAGAGGCTAGACATTCTGTAGCAAGTAACTTGCCTCCTAACTCACCATTTTGTCCACCATCTACAAGAAACAAAGCTGGAGTGTGGAATACTTTCCACCTACCTGGCAGAACAGGCTGTAGTGCAACCCCACCAACACTCAAGAAACTCAACTAAATCTGACACAAAGTATCCTGCTTATTGGGAATCCTATTCCACCAGTTTCAAAATTCACTCCCTCCACCACTGCCAGACAGTGGCACTGGCTGTGTTATCTACAAGATATACTGCAATAACTTACCGAGGCTCCCTCAACAGGACCTTATAAAACCCGAACTCTACCACCAAGAAGATGCCGGGTGGGGGGAGGTGGTATCAGCATCTGCAAGTTCCTGTCCGAGCAGCACCATCCTGACTTGGATCTACATTACCATTCCTTTTACTGCTGCTGAGTCAAATTCTCAGAACTCCCTCACTGAAAGCAATGATGGTGTATCTACTCCACCTCCCCCTCCATTCTCCAATAGTTGAAAATTCACACATGGCTGCAATAATGGTTAATCTCGACATCTTTTACATGGGGTAACTGGATTAATTTATCATCTATCAAGCTGTATTGTCAGTTGATATCTCTCAGTTTGTATCCTTTTTGGCACTTGCCTGTTGTTTTGGCAGTACAGTAACATAGCTTACCCCTTCTACTAATGTATTATGTGACAAATTCCCACTTCATCCTGTTTGTTTTAATCTGTCATGGAAATACATAGCATATACAGAAGCCAGAAACTAGTAATGGCAGGTTAATGAGCTGGGAAAATTGATGTTGTCTCTATTTATACATTTTAGTCAGGAACTAATTTTAACCATTCACCTGCACCATAGTACTTTGCCCATTTATCTTAATTTCTTGTCCTTGCAAACAGTTTCTCCAAAACCATTTTGTTACCATTTACACAGCATCTTTTGGTGCTTTTGCTACATGTAAAGTATCTCTTGTTTTCTGGGTGTTTAAAGTTTTCGAGAAGATTTCTGGTTGTCTAAAATTAGGAACCTTCAGTATTGGTCACTGATAAATCTAACAAGAAATTCAGAAATACTACTCAATTGAGGTGTAAGAATGTGGAACGCTCTTGCAGATATCAAAGCTGCACTTTAGAGGAGGGTAGCATGCTGTCTCAGTGGTTAGCAATGCTGCCTCACAGCGCCAGGGACCTGGGTTCGATTCCACCCTCGGGTGACTGTCTGTGTGGAGTTTGCACATTCTCCCCGTGTCTGCGTAGGTTTCCTCCGGGTGCTCCAGTTTCCTCCCACAGTCCTAAAGATATGCAGACTAGGTGGATTGGCCAGGCTAAATTGCCTCTAGTGTTCAGAGGTGTGTAGATTAGGTGGGTTAGAGGGGTACGGATCAGGGTGGGATGCTCTGAGGGCCAGTGTGGACTTGTTGGGCTGAAGGGCCTGTCTCCACACCGTAGGGGATTCTATGATCAAATGAGGAGGAATATGCTGGTATGTTTTGTGACTGTATTGAATTCTTTATGTTGGAATTTCATCTGTTTGACCAACACACTGTTTGTTTATTTCAGGATGTGATACCGTTGTAGAAAATTTGTTCATTCAGTGGAATGCAATTAATTCAATGGCTAAAAGTAAACCAGTGTTGAACTGATGTTACATTTACTGGTGCTTGCTACACCAATAATTATGGAAACTGGACTTCTTTGACATATGACAATCTTTAAGATGAGATTATAAAATATTAAACCGTTGAATCAATATCAGGTTTAAAAACAACTGTTATAAAATTTTAATTTAATTCTGCAATATTAATGAAATACAGGTTCACTTTTATAATGACTTTATAAAAATGCTTATAATGCTAATTGCATTGTGTAATCTTCAAGTCCAGCAAGCTTTATGCCTAACGATCTTTGTTTTAAACAGGTATAATAGCGCAGGAAGTGAAGGAAATCCTACCATCTGCTGTAAGGGATGTCGGGGATATCACCTATACCAATGGTGATAAAATCGAGAATTTCCTCATGGTTGACAAAGTAATAGAATTTGGATTTTCTAATATTTGTGACTATTTCAGATCACAAATCATTCAAAAATATTGGCAATTCCTTAGACTTCAATCTACAGACTCCTTGACATTTAGCACGTTAGTACTTGAATTAACATTGATGCCTGAGTTTAATCCTTTGAAAAGCTGTCTGTCAGCATGTTATCAAAACTGTTTGGATATATGCTTGCCATGAAAGATCTTCCGAAAAAAAATCACAAGGGAGTGATTGGAATCCAACTTGTATTTGATAATTGAGAAACCAGTTGAGACTTTCAGTGAAATAAAAGCCAGATTGCACGCTACAACATTTAAACATGTCTAATGAAGATCAAATGAATATAGACTTATAAGACACCTTTCACTTAATCATTTTTATAACATTGTTTAAATACTCATTGTGAAGAATGTCAAATTGTTAACTTCTAACACAATAATTGCTTATTTGTTTCAGCCTTTCTTCATTCTAAGATGAAATATGGTTTGCAATTTACTCCAGCATGCTCCAAAAGACTTGTCTCTCAGCACAAAAGACTAAGACAAGAGGATGTTTGTTCAACTCAATTTGTTTTCTTAAGATCATGCCCAAGGTCTATAAATGGCTTGTTCAATATTCGCCTCCATTAAAATTAACTTTGCATTTCTGCATTCTCTAATTAGAACATTCTCTTTCCTGTTCCGAACAGCCTTACCAAGACTCCATTCACTACACTAGTTGTCAGTCTATTCCATTAGTGAGTGGCTTTAAAACTCCTCTTGTATTCTATTTTATTATTCCGACCATCATCTTGAAAAGACTCATTTTATAGATTCCAACCTTAACAAATCCAGAAAATTTACTTTGATACCACCATTGTTTACACCAAATCCACACATAGGGAACTTATGAAGGAACTATCAAACACAATGTAAAAGTTACTTGGGTTAAAGCAGATGCTCTTTAGAATATTTTTAGTCCAGTGGTTGTCATGAAGGCAACTTAAGCCTTCTCTCTCTTTACAAGACATTTGATTGGTAGTTAATAATTTTAAAGAAAATTGACGCTACTAATAGTCCTAATGTTACTCCAACTATGGTACAGATTTGTGGATTTCTCCTTTTTTTTTGTCAGCTGAAGGAGAATGTTGTTTATTTCCCACAGGAACAGATTTTCATGGAGAATGTGGGAGCAGTGAAAGAGTTATGTAAGCTAACTGACAATTTTGAAAAAAGAATTCAAGAATTAGAAGTCTGGAACAAAAATCTTGCCAAGCTGAAGTGGATTGGGAGTGTGAAATCTAAGACAAGTGATAAAAACGGCAGGTGTGTGTACTTTCCAATTTATGTCCTGTATTAACGAACTTCACAGAAAAAAGAATTACTTTTATGTGGCCCTAAGTGGGTAATTTCACTGCAGAATGTGGCATTTGGCCACATAAGAATTTCCATAGTTCTGTAGTGATTTGGCAAGTCTAGCCAGAAGAAGAAATAAATCCACAAAAGTGACCACGTATTCCCGGGTTTTGGAATGAAACAATTCTCTGAAGTTCCCATCTTAATTACTATTGGTATTTGGTGCTGAAATTGCTTATGGAAGGCTGATGTTAAGAGGATTAAAATAGTCTAATATCAGTAAATGGATAATCACTCACACTAAAATTATCTGGGAAATGCCAAAGTCCTCCTCGCCCTGAAGCTGGATAAGTGTCCATGCAGCAAAAGGGAAGGAAACTAAATTAATACAGCAAAAAAAAATTAAAAGAAAAGTTGTACTTTGTTTAACAGGTTATTTCTATGACCACTGCATCGTAGTATTATCACAATATACTGTTATACTGTTCAACTAATTTGTAAAAGTTACTAAAATATGATAATTATTACTATTTTAATAATACTAAAATGGTATAATTAATTACTATTTGTAATTAACTTGCTAGAAATATATTCTATAATATGATTAATTACATCATTAGCTGTGTGAAACAGCATATTAATAATTCATCACAACAATGAATATGTGCCCATGATATTGTCTGTATTCTTTCTCAAATCAGAGATAGATAACATTAGCTTTATTCATGTTTTTAAAAACCTTTCCTTTCTCTCTGTTTTATTTATTAAAAATGTATAAATAAGATTGTAGATTAAGAGAGAAATGCATGATTGTGTTTTTATGTGGGTTCTTTGAGTCTTCATATAAGCTCAGTCCAGACTTCTTAGTAACTATTAAACTATATGTTTATTATTGCACTATGCAGGTTCAGGCATCAACACAGATGTCCTATGCTGTACAGGGTCCAATAACTTATTAGAGCATGAACATATGAGTTCTGAGGTCTCAGTGACATCACCTCAGATGTTCATCTACAAATCCATTAAACTCTATCTCTACAAGAAGTTGGCATCCTGCTGAATGCTTCCTTTTACTCTGGGGAAAGTTGGGAGTTTAGTGTGGCTGATTGTGTTTTTTTAAATCTTGCCAATTCTAGCTACTTTTTTAAAGTTATTTACATGGGATGAGGGGAATTTAAAGCCAAACTCACTGCTAGGTTTCCATTGTGAATTCCTGCATTATTCTCACACTCTTATACAGTGTGGAGTTGGAGGAACACATCAGGCCAGGCAGCATCAGAGGAGCACGAAAGCTGTCGTTTCGGGTCGGGACCCTTCTTCAGAAATCCTTCAGAAATTTCTGAAGAAGGGTCCCGACCCAAAACAACAGCTTTCCTGCTCCCCTGATGCTGCCTGCCTGCTGTGTTCCTCCAGCTCCACACAGTGTTACCTCAGACTCCAGCATCAGCAGTTCTTACTATCTCTCACACTCTCTTATCCTGCTTAAGCCCCACCTTTCTCTTCAACCCAGCCAATTCCATTTCTCGATTCCTGTGTGACCAAGTCTTCATCTTCAGTCATGTGCTGAGTTGCAGATACATGACTCTTCGAACACAATTCAATGTATTTCATGCATTTTTTTGTTAAAAATGGCTCTTTTTTAGCATGTCAAAAGAGAAGCTCAGATTTGTTAACCTTGTTCTTTTTTTAAGCATATTTCGCCGGGCAAGCACAATGACACCGAAGAAACCTGTTATGGCCAAACACAGGGTATGTGAGAGCATGTATAAATGATGTTATTTCATCAGTTCCTTTCCTGTGGAGAAGTGAGCATGTGGAAGAGGTTTTGTTTGAAATTCCAGGATTTCTGCATCAGAATTATGAGGGAGTGGGACTGTGAATGCAGGAGAGGGTGAAGCCCAGTGCTGAGAGGAGGTAACCATAGGGGGCAGGCTAGGAGTGAGACAAAGGTTGTTACACCCTTTTGCCCTCATAACTGCACCTCTTCTCCAGGGCCACTCATCTCATCCAGGGCCACTCCAAATAGATTCAAGTCCCACCTACTCCAGAAGTGTGTAACAGCATCTTTGAACAGGTTGAGTAGAAAATAGCTAGAGTAGGGTGATTACTGGTGATGATTAATAGCTTTTAAAAAACCCCAAAAAATAGTCATGGTGATTTAGTGTTGGGAAAGCTGTTCCGTCGTGTGTGGTAACACTTCTGGATATAAAAAAAAGTGAAAAAATGCAGAGTAGGCATGCCAGGCTTGCTATAAACAGGTTCAGGCAGCGGGCGGTGAAGAGGGTCATATCTGCCAACTGTCTTGTGCCTTTTCTGCGGTTATGTTCATGTCTGGGTATTATAGGAGAGGTAACATGTGTTGTCCATCAATGCTTTCGATGCCTTTAGAGAGAGCTAGGCACCACAGGGCATACAGTCCTTTATTTCCTCCTCCAACTCTATTTTGATTTAGTTCCTTCCCTCACTCCATACCGGCCCCCCTCATTTTTGATGATTTGCATTGCCCATAATGGGCTTTGCTCATAAACTTCGAATTGGCTGCTGGGAAGATTACTGGTGAGGGTTAAAAGTTTAAAACAAAAAAAAAGGTCATGGTGATTTGGTGGTGGAAAAGTTATTCGGTTGTGTGTGACAACACTTCTGGATGTATTAAAAAATAGAGTAGGGCAGAAAAGAAAATAATTAGACTAGGGCATTTCAAAAACGACTTCAGAACATGACAGTTATACAGACCTTAACTACACTCAAAAAGCACTTATTCTATTAATACTTGGCTTCCTTACTGCATATTAGAAAGCTCCTTGACCAGGTAGAACTGGTGTCTGCTTGAACATTGCAAATAGAATCTGATGCAAATGGGGCCAATTTCTTAATAGGAAAGGAAGCTGGGACTTCAGCATCCAGGTCCTATCCTCCAATTTTTAATCCCTCGGAGTCATCTTAAACTTCACACAACTCCAGCCCAAAGCCTGAATAGAAGAAGTATATGCATATCTGGGTTAATATTAATTCCTGTGGTGCAGGTCTCAGCAGTGAAGCCAGAACTAGGTGCCATCTGCAATCCGAGAATGTAACCAACTGCAGTCATGAGATGGTCAGCCAATTCATGTGGATTGATGTACTGAGTCTGGATGGGCAATGAAGCACTGAACCTAGCACCACCCGACTCTGGGGAAAAAAAAGAAACTGACCCCTTTAAAGGACTGAATGACCTGCATACAGTGCTCCCTTAATACTCAAGCTCCACTGAGCTATTCTGAAGATCCTTTACCCACTTTAGCTCAACTGAGGAGCCAAGCAGTGGACCAGCAGGCTGCTGCCAACATACCTATGGGAAACACAAGGTGCAGGTTCTCCTCCAGGCTGCAAATGAAAGATGGAAGATAATTTTCCTTTGGCCTGGAAGATGGCATTTTCCTGCCAGAGCAAAGAAACCTGGATGGAGATAGCAATGGATGTCAGCAACCATGAGTCTATCAAAGCCCATGAGTACAGCGGCAAAAACAGCTGATTTGAAAGAGCTGTGATAACCACATGCATGCAATCTATTACACATTTCACTTGAGAAATTACTACAATGGACCCAATTAAGCCAATGGACTTCTCTGCCTGCCTATTAGGGTCAGTTTGATAGTACACAAACTCTCTGTTCGTCTTGATCAATGCACTGGTAATGTCTTTAATGCAGCAATGAGTTGCTAAGGGTTCCTGCACACCTGTGACTGGTGGATCCCTGGAAGGAGTTAGGTACATAAAAGGTCAATGCAACTGTATGACACAACTGCTGCAGTAAGCCTGGCTGGATCAGTCACCCTGCTGCTATTGCCCTTTATCGCACAATGTCCTTGCAGGACTTTATTCCCTGGTTCCCATGAATCCAGCTGGACACTATAGCATCACGCCTGTACTTGCTCGGCTGTGAAGCCATGGCCACAATTGAAACCACTGATCCTCAGAACTGTTTCCCATTCTCCTTTGAGATGACCCGCTGACTCTCATCCCTCAGTTTCTCGGCCCACAGGTTTCTGCTCTTCAGAGCTGGTCTGACAACCATTTCCCCTCAGTTTTGACCTCTGCCTCTTGCCCCAGAGTTAGATTTCTCCTTTCTTCCAACCATTCAAAGCACACTGGAGGCAGCTCTGATATGGCTGTGATCAGGAATTTGAATGCCTGTGATCCCAATGTGCTGTTCATTCAATTCTGAACACTGCACTAAATCTCACTTGATTGCATTTGATTCATTGTTAATTGCCTACATAACATGCACAGTTAGTTTCCTGCTGCATTGTAGTCATAACTCTACATTGAAGGTTTCTTGCAGTTGGCAAAATGTAGAGTCAGCATTAAACCTTGTGCTTCTCCTCCAGGTTCTATGTCTATCCAGCCTCCCATCCTGCCTTGTAGCCAAGCCATATTAGATTACATCCTTATTTATACCTGACTTATTTGCTTCCAATTGAAAACCAATAGAGAAAAAGGTACATGCTAATAATTAAATTCAAATCTTGGTGACTGGTGAAGCCAACATATAAATTGTGAAAATGGATTAAGGAAGTGTTCTTGAAAAGACACGGGTTAAGTTTTATGAGGCAATAGCATGTGTATTAGTTTCTGATAAACCATTTGAGTGTTGCTTTATCAAAATTTCCAGAAGAATCATTTCACACACACACAATTTTTCATGTATTACCCATATCAATGGTGAAATTCAGCGCAAGCATATTATTCCATTTTCACTAGAATTTTGTTTCATGTTTCCCTAATGCATGAAAATGGTATACCCTACATAGAATAATTTTTAATGGTATCATTGCTCAACATGTTAATTTTCTTGTTAGTGACATGTAATCTTTTAAACTACCTGTGAAACTTGACCTTTCTTAAAATTCTACAAAGGTTTCTGGTATCAGAAAGTTGGCTATTCTCAATGTAAAAAAAATTTCCTTTTTTCAAATTATTTGTAATCCAGGCCTACCTTAACCAGCATAAAGATTGCTCACTGCAGAAGGTTTTCCATATTGTCATCATGGCTCTATTGGGTCTCATGGCGTTTTGGTAAGAAACTAAACCTGGTATATATTATGCAGCAGTTTCTCAATATGTCATCAAAGTTCTACATTTTTTAGCTTCTAGTTCAAGACTATGATAGCAGCTCCTGGTCTGTTAGCTCTTTATTTTTTACTCCAGCCCGGGAGATTAAGAAAACATATTTAACTTGCTGTTCTACTTATAACGTCCTGTTTACTGTTCCTTGGATGAGAGAAGCAATCCATTCCAAATCTTGTGTCAATGGCTGCTCTTTACTCCATCCATTGCAGCAATGTAAATAAAGGAGTGCCGTGATCTTCCATTTTCATATTATCTTCTAATGAAGAATCTATTCACTGTTTCTCCTGACCAGGATTGCATGGAACCTCCTATTACAGTAAACAGAGTGTGCAACATCTAGTTTAGTATTCATCAATTAGTGCCAAATGCTACAAAGTTAAAAATACAAGATGTAACAAAATGAAGTAGTATTTAGATGATGCTATTTTTAAAATTTTAAAAGTAGATGATTGGAGAAAGCTGCTTTAGTGGGGCAGAGAAAAATGATTAATCTGTTCACTGATGCTGAGTTGGGATTTGCCAATCCCACTCATCTCGTGACTTCATTACTGCCTTGGTCCAAATGTGGACAAAATAACTGAACTCGAGGTGAGGCGAGAGCGACTGCCCTTGGTCACCAAGGCAGCATTTGACTGAATGTGGAATTAAGGAATCCCAGCAAAACTGGAATTGATGGGAATTGGGGAAAACTCTCTTCTACTCGGACTCATACCTAGCGCAAAAGAAGATGTTGTTGTTTTTTGGATGTCAACAATCTCAATCCTGAGGAGCTTTTTAGGGTAGTGTTCCAGTTTCAACTATTTCATCAGTGACCTTTCCTCCAACATAAGATCAGAAGTGGGTATTTGCACAAATATTCAGCACCATTTGTGACCGCTTAGATACAGAAGCAGGATATGCCCAAATGCAGCAAAACTGGGCAACAACCACCCTTGGGCCATTAAATGGAAGGCAACATTTTCACCATACAAATGTCAAATAATGATAAATTCCAAAATGGGAGAATCCAACCAAGTCCCCTTGACATTCAATGGCATTCTCATTGCTGAATCCCCTCATATTAAAATTCTGGGGTTCATATTGACCAGAAACTAACTGGTCAGCCATATAAACACTGTGGCTATAAGATCTAGCCACAGGCAGGGAATTCTTTTGTGAACCAGTGACACTTGTATCTTGAGAAAGAATTTAAAACAAAACTTCACACATATGCGCTCCTTCCTACCATTTTTAAATTTTGTATCCAATGGAAGCAAGGTTTACTGGATGAATCAGAAAATTGTCTCATATTGATACTGGTTGTATGGTCATTCTTTATATTGTGGCATGAGAAAAACCTCTGATTATCATCAAAATCGTAGAAAGTTTGCAGCACAGAAGATCATTTGTCCATTGTGGCTGCATCAGCTGCACTAGCCATCCAGCATTTTTCAGCATTACGTTTGTGTTAAAACACTTGAGGTATGCAACTAGACATCTTTTAAATGAGCTGAGGTTTTCTACTTCTACTATCTTTGAAGACAGACCCCTTCTGCTCTCTGGGTGAAAAATGCTTCCTCATCACACCTCTAATCTTTCTATAAATCAATGCCCCAAAGGCCTGACCTTGGCTAAAGTAAATAAGCCCTGTTGCCACTTTTAAGCCCCTCACAATTTTTCATAAGAACATAGCCTACTCCTGCTCCTATTTCTTATCTGGCCCATCGAACCTGCTCTGCCATTCAATAGAATCATAGCTGACCTTTTCGTGGACTTGGCTCCACTTACCTGCCTGCTCACCATGGCTCTTAGATTTTTCAACACTAAAGGAACTATCTGTCTTTGCCTTAAATACATTCAATGAGATCACCTCATCGGTTTCATTGGGCAGAGAATTCCATAGATTCTTTTCGGTAAAGGAGTTCCTCCTCGATTCAGTCCTAAATCTGCTCCACCTTACTTTGAGGCTGTGCCCCCTAGTTTTAGTTTCATCTGCCAGTGGAAACAACCTCCCTGCTTCTGTCTTATCTATTCCCTTGAAGATAGCAAGAAATACAGATGCTGTATCAGAGTCAATAGAGTGTGGAGCTGGAGGAACACAACAGGTCAGGCAGCATCCGAAGAGCAGGAGAGTCCATGTTTCGGGTCAGGACCTTCTAGTCGCTTCATAATTTTATATGTTTCTATAAGATCTCCCTTCCTCTTTCTAAATTCCAATGAGTATAGACCCAGTCTACTCAATCTCTCCTCATAAGCCAACCCTCTCAACACCAAAATCAACCTAGTGAACCTCCTCTGCACGCCCTCCAATGCCAGTACATCCTCTCTCAAGTAAGGAGACCAAAACCATAGACAGTACTCGAGGTATAACCTCAACAGCACCCTGTACAGCTGCAGCATTACCTCCCTGCTTTTAAACTCCATCCCTCGAGCAATGAACAATATTCCATTTGCCTTCTTAATTACCTGCTGCACCTACAAACCAACGTTTTGAGATTCAATCTCAATCAAATCTCCCCAAGTCTCCTCTGTTCCAACGATAACAGTCTTAGCCTATCCAGTATTTCTTTACTTGCATTTTTCCAGTCTAGACCAGAACTACAAACAGTACTCAGGTTGTGACCTAACATTATTTTTGTAGTTTCAGGATAACATCTCTTATCTTATTTTCTAGGCTAATAAACGAAATGACTCCACATGCCTTTTCAACCAACTTAATGAGCTATTCTGCTACTTTCAAGGATCTATGAACATTTGTTAAGATCCCTCAACATTTATTCCTCTGCCTTGTTTGACCTCCCCAAATGCATCACCTAACACTTCCTCCTCATGTCAATTAGAATTTGAATATAACACCATTAGTGTCAGTGGAATCTTTGTCTCTTGATAGATGGACAGTGCATGTATGTACTACAATTGTTATGGCTTCATAAATAACAATAGATGAGGAGTGGTTATTTGTATGACCATATTCTGTTTGTTTCCTGAAAATCAAGCATGCACTTCTACAATATTAGTTTCTGAGTTTAAGTTCCACCTTCTTCAGTTTAATTGAAAAGATGCTGATAACTCTACCTCTTGTAGAATACAATATCCAGCTCTCTCATTATGTTTTCATAGGGTTATTGCATTTAAACAGTGTCCCAGCTCTGGCAACAGTTAGTGACAGCAGAATAGCAGCTTTTAATTAAGACAGTTTGGGCATAAATAAGTTGAATCAGTTGAATCCTTTATTTACACCCAAGCCAAATTAACTGCATGTAAGAAAGGTTAATTGTTTATCTATAGAGTTTTATTTATAGATTAGCTATGTGACAAATAACATATTCTTTTTGTGACAGTGTGATTTTGATATCTGCACTTTACGTACTAACATTGAATGAAGAACGAAGTGTTGTTAACAAGCTGAATGAAAGGTAAATAACTTTATAATATGTCACTACAACTGCCTATAAATTTCTGCTGTTTACAGTATGACATGGTCATTTCCTGCCCATACTGCTGTTTTTAAGAAAATAGAAGTCAGCTCTTTAGTTGGCGATATATTTAGTTTTAAAGTAAATAAACATTTCCCAAAAATACTTTAACTCACTGGTTATGTTTACTGTTACAGCTTTATTTCCGAGTCGTTTACAACAAACCAGTATGCTACCTTTATAACATATACAACATTGTCAGGTAAATTGTTTCACTGAATGCATTTGAAGTGTTACAAAGTTTAATAAAAAGTTATCAAACATAAGCATGGTTTACCCATCTTATTCTTTAGCAGAAAATACAAGCTCAGTTTATACAACAGCAATCACTGAAATTCCCCGGCCTGAAATAAGCTTCTGTAATATCCTACCTTGTGTCACTGTGCACTGTTGTGCACTTCAATCACAAAGAAAAGACATCTCTAACAATTGGAGAAAGAGGAGAATCGCCAAAGGTCTTGTGCAAAACTATTTTCAACCAAGTAAGATTTTATGATTCCCTCATCTTTTTAAAGAAATGAGCATTTACATTTTAAAAATATTTATGCTATTGTCTTTTCCAAGAAGACCAATAGTTGATGGCACTTGTGTTGCATTGCCTGTAGTTGATTTTAAGGGCTTGTATCATGTATTGAATTCCCAACTGCACACTTTAATGCAATAATATCTATTGCTGATACATAATGAAGGCTACTCCACTCTTTTGTTAGGGATGGGTAGAAACAGACAAAAGTTGCTTGCATAACTTACCTTTTATTTGTTTAAGAATGATTATAAAGGGCCTTCACCAGGAATCCTATCCTGGGAATCAGGATGAGTAGAGTACAGCACATATCTTGGATTAGGTTAAACTTCCACAATGCAGTGAGTGATAGTGATGATGAAGACCACAATTTGAGCTGTTTATAATGCTCAAGAATTGTTGCTGTTTGAATATATTTATGTATAGAAAACAAATTTGAACTATGTATCACTACATTAATGAAATGTCTGACTGGTGCACCAGTATAGTTTCTCCTGGATTTTATTTTTCTGTTCTCTTGGTAAGCTCCAGAGAGAAATTTATAACACACCTGTCCTGACCTCATTTCCAGCTGTAAATAATTATGGTGTTTGAAACAGCAGTAACTTAGGACCATGTTGGAAAATGGTGGAAGTAACACTTTACACAAAGTTTTATAACCGAGACATTCAGAAATAGATGTAAATAATGCATTCATATTTATTATTGTTGCCCCCAACCAAAATGAGACTCTTCCATTATGAAGTTTTAATGTTGGAGAAGCAAATGCCCAGAAATTAAGCTGCGCATTGTATCAGTTGTTTAGAATGCCTCCGGTGTATTTTTAATCAAGACATAGAAGCTGTGCTTCAGCATTCATAGTTAGATTTCTGATCGTGGGCACACAGGTGAGATTTGGTCCTGAGGGATTCTTTCACCAGTTTACCTCCTGTTGAAAATACTGAAAATGGTGAGCTAACTAAAATGGCCTAATGTAGACACAAAATTTTCTCGTCTTGCCAGATTTTAAATGAAAATGCAGTAAGAGATATATGGGGGTGATTCCCACCTCCACTTACAATCTGTCTTTTTCACCAGAATCCTTATCCTCGCTATCCAACCTACCAGACTCTGTATTCATCAGATAAACCTCCAGCATGTCACCAAACTCAGCTGCCATTCTCCTCCCCTTTAGCATTCTGAATGGACATTTACCTCCCAGATACTCTATTGCAGTACTCAGTCATCTCCATCCCTTTTTCTGGTGAATCTTTCCATGCAAGTGCAAGAGATGCAGCATCTATTGTTTTGCCTTCTCCCTTCACACCAAAGTCACCAAAGCACTCCTCCCAAATTAAACTGCAATTTACTTGCACTACTTCCATTTTAGCTTACTGAATTCACTGTGGACAATACAGTGCCTTCTGCATTTGAGAGATCAAATGCAGATTGAATGAACCTTTGCAGACACCTCTACCCGGTCTACAAGTGTGACTTCGAGCTGTCAGTTACCCTGTCAGTTTAATTCTCCCTTTCTTCCCCTCTGACCTTTTGTCTTTGGCTTGCTATGATATTCTAATGAAGCTCAATGCAAGCCCACGATACAGCACCTCATCTTTCGACTGAGCCAATGTACTGCCTCTGGACTCAACATTTGAGTTAATCACTTTAGATTGTCGCCCTACTCTCATTTCACTTCCTTTTCTTGTTAATTTATTTTTCTGCTCTCTATTCTTGTTTACTTTCTCTTCAGATGGCAGCTATTCTGTTATTCATGCCACCTTGGGACACATATTTTGTTTCTTGATATATCTTGGCTCCTTTGGTTTTGTTCCATAAAATTGTTTTCCATTTTGTCTCTCTTGCCCTTTGCCCTTCGCCCTACCTCAAACTTGCCTTTTTGTTATTTTCCCATCTTTTCTCTTCCTCTCACATACCTATTTAAAACCTATTGCATTTCTAACACTTCAGCTTGGATGAAAGATCACAGACCTGAAACATTGACTTTCTTTCTCCCTCTCTGACAAATGCTGCTAGAATTACTGAGAATATTTAGCCTTTCTGCTTTTATTTCATATTTCAAGAATGCACAATATTTTGCTTTTTTTGGTGAAAATTAACCTTTCTGCTATTTTATTGCAAAGGAAAGATTATTTTGGTTTTCCTGGAAGAAATCCTATTTGGGTGTATTCTCTGCGTTTTCATGTATTTTATCAAATACAATACATCAATTTAACAGAGCATGCTGTACTGTGTGTGGAAAGGTTTCTGTTCATGTCAGGCCATCATCTCATTTTTTTGATTGTCAGCATTTTCAAAGGGACGGCTAAACTGCTCAAAAGATCCCTTTGTATCAAAGATGGCACCCCTCCAGACCCCACCATCATCACTAAAAATTGTTGGACCACTTGTCCAACATCCAACAATGGAAGGCCTGAAATTTCCTCCAATTAAATATTAGAACAAACAAAACCATTGTCTTTGGTCCCTCCTACTTGGCCACTGAATCCATTTCTCTTCCTGGTTACTGATTTAATGCTGATGGAAATTGCACACAACATTGATTTATCACGTCATTAGATTTGATGCCAATGATCACATTTATGCTATCAGTCGACTGCTTATTTCCACCTCCATATGGTCACCAACTCTAGTCTCAACTCATCTGCTGCTAAGTGTGCATCTGTGCCTTTGTTGCTTAAAGACTTGGCCATTCTAATCCATCCTGCCCAGCTTCACATTTTCCATTCTTTGTAAACATGAGGTCATCCACAACACTGCCCCTTTCTTAACTTGCAAGGTTCATTGCTTCTATGCTCACTGACCTACAATATTTCCTGGTTAAGCTATGTCTTGATTTTTTTTTAATTTCCATTTTTATGTTCTAATTACTTCATGGTCTTACCACAAACTATTTATGTAAACTCCGTCAATCCTACAATTCTCCTAGATATTTGTATTCCTTCAATTTTGGGTTCCTAAGCATCCTGATTTCAATTACTCCATAGTGGTTAACGTGCCTTTGGCTGTCTCATCATTATCTCTCCATAAAACATTCTGCCTCGTCCTTGTTTTTCCTCCCTTAAGGTTCTCCATTAAAATATTCATCTGTCTTAATATTTCCCATGTGGCTTAATATGAACATTTGTTTGTTAGGTTGTGTGACTTTGAATGGCTGGTCTGAGCCATTAGATTTTTAAACCCTTATTTGACTATTAACAGTCATAGAGCTTAAGCGCCACTGAAACTGGTATAAGATGTGCACACTTTTTTTCTACATTGGATGAGTTTTGCTTCTTACATTCAATACATTCAACTATAATTCATTTTCAACTCCTGGATTTCATTAAATCACGAGATGCTTGTACTGTGTGTGTTGCACTCAGAAATGATACATAATAAGGCCTTGAATTCTTCTTTCAGAACTGGCAACAAGCCAAATAAATGTGAAGGGGATTCAAAATAGTGATTGTAAGTAAAGTCTTTAGTTTGCTTCTATGTCTTCAATAACAAATTGGTAACTATTGATTATTTTTTCAAATGGTGCTCTGTTATGATTAAATATTGTTAAGAATCATCTATTGGATAATTTTAGTTACATTTTTCCTAAACAATCTATTTCAGATGTTTCCCTCACACTGGAATTTGAAAATGATCATACACTGCATTATAGAGGCAGCAGACTGCTTGTTTTTAAACGGCAAACATTTTTATAAATCTCTAGAGAAAGATTGGTAATGGGAAGCATAGTTGATGAAAGATAGAAGATACTTTAATGAGCAATAAGGATGTACATTGGAACTTCTACAAGATGGTAATAGGTAGATGTGATCTGGGTTTTGACAGCATTTCCAACTTTACCCAATTCACTCAATATTCGAGTATCAGTCTAAACGATGTCTAAAGTGGACTTTCACAACTTCACGCTGTGACTTGGACAAAGTGCTTCAGCTATCATTTCACATAATAAATAACCATAGATGAGATTGAAACAATTAATCTGTGCTTGTCAAGTCAATGTGTTTATTGTATTATATGAAACATTTGATACATGATCTTATTATGCTGGGTTTTAAACTAAAGATGATAGTGAGCGGAACTTGGTTTTCCCTCACGTAGACTGAAGTATGTGATAGAATAATCATTACTGGGCTTCTGGGTACAAAAGTCTTGATGGACTGACTGATCTTTTCTGAAATATATCAATTTGGTGTCAACTTTCATTGTGTTATTTCACACATGAAAATGTGTGTTTTATTGCTATTTATATTTACTGCACAGTGTATTGTCACTTAAGAACTCTAAAGAAATGTGTATGTCACAGACCTGACTAAGAATGGTTGGGTCGTTTGGTGAAATGCTTTGCAGTAAAGTTGATATTTTGAGCTTTTACATTGGTTGAAAAATTGATTTGCAAATTGAATTCCACTGATTTTAGTTTGTTTTTGATACTAATAGGGTTTGATACGTCTATTAGATCAATAAGAGTTATGGAAAGTCAGCAACAAATTGACCAACGTTACTGTGCTAAAGGAATTCATTGTGGGTTAGTCACTTTAAACTATTGATAAAACTGTTTAATTGTTTTTCTAATTCATGGTCACTGTTGGGAAAATATCAAAAGAATGTTGATTGGAATTTAAATTGGACATGGCTGTATTTGTGATAGGTTAGACACAAAGATATAATTCATTCAACTCATTAATTCTTGAGAATAATTTTTCCCTGTTCTAATTATATTCATGTGTTTCTTAGTCCTCATTTCATCTATTTAGTTTTGTAGAAGGGCTTTTTCTCTCAAGATAACCTTTTGTGTTTATTTCTAACCTGTGTTTTGTTTCATTATCCAATGGTTTTGTTTTTATTGCATTTGTAGTCAGTAGTTCATGTGACAGGAACATAATTGCTCTACCCCACTTAACAAGCTTAATTTGCTAATTCTTAGTCCATCTATAGCATAGATTATGAATTTGGGGCTTTTCTGGTGTAGTGGTAGCATGTCTACTTCTGAGCCAGGAGGCTCAGATTTAAGTCTCCCCTTCTCCAGAGGTGTGTAATATCAAGCCGGAAAAGGTTGATTGGAAAATATCTGGATTGCTAATCTGGCAGAGTGGTGAGTGAGGAATAACTTTGGAAAATAGGTGTTTGAGAGCCAAGTGTTTCAGTTTTAAACTTGGATTATAATTGCATAATCAATTCGTAAGGCTTTCAAGGGATGCATATCAATTGATACCAATTATGGTCATTTGGATTGTGCAATCACATACCACTAAAGGATATCTTCACCTCAGTTTGAGAGATGAGAGGGCTAAATTCACTTGAACCTTTTTGTTTAAACAGTATTAATTCCTATTAAAACCATTTTTACTCTATGTAGAATGAATTCCAAAGACAAAAAAAGGATATTCTAAGTTTTTAACAATTTTCTTTGTGCTTTGCATTACTGATAAGACTACTGTAATTTGTTGTCAAATTAGTGTTTGTTTTTCACTACTCATCATTCAGGAATGGCAACTTTAGCTACATAATTCCAATCAACAAGTATACACCTATTGATATGAGAATTATTTTGGAAATGAAGTAAGTACAATTATAAAGATTTGTATTTTCTTTCCTAATCAAATCTTAATTAGCCTGCAAGTACCAATACTTGGTAATCATATCTAATTGTTTTCTAATTGTGCTGACTGGATTCTTCTATTTTGGAATACTAAGTAACATTTGTTGCAAGGTGACACAATCTGCTTAACTCTAAGCATATGAATTTTAGTTGTGTACATTTGATATTTCAACTTATTGATCAATTGTAGCCATATTAGCCTAAGCAACATTATTAAAAGTGCAGTTTAGGTTCATTGTGGAGGCAATTTTTCAGTTAAAATGAGTGAGGATGCGACCTACGTTTGCTGTAATTTTAACTGCCTATTTGCATGATCTGCAAAACAAAACTAGACTGTTCTGTGTGTGCATAGGTTAGAGAATTGCAGTTTACAAATAATTTGCAAACAAATATGCTCGGCTCATCAACATTAGGATGGATCTCTTTGTGAAACTTTCTTGTGCATTATTTAATTAGTAGGAAGGGGGAATAGCCATTCCCAAAGGATTTGTCTTCTGTTTTAACCACAGCTTTGTGGCCCTTGCCTATCCTTCATTGGAGAAAAATGTCCACTATTTTACAAAATTTATGTCAGAAAGACTTACTCAGCATTAGTATTATTTAGTGCTAAAATGTTAACCAATTTATACCTTGCAGCACCACAGCACCCGTGATTGTTTACAAATGTAAAGTGAACCTTGGTGAGACCTGTGTAACATCTGTACCCAAACTAACTAAAAGGGATGCATCACAAGAAATGTCTCAGGTAACTTGTTACGCTCGAGATCTCGGCAAAATCTGGTAGAATACATTTTAATTTTAGAAATTATCTTCACTTAGGAAATGTTTGACTGAGCTTTTCAGCATTTGCTTACAGATGCTAACCTACACTTAACACTGAAATTCATTGCAAAGTAACTGAAAAAAAATTGATTTGAATGGCGCCTTAAGTGAAATATGTATCTTGGAGACTCACAGAGGGTTTCTGCACCCTCTTCCAGGTCAAGTTTGTAAACCACTGCTTGCCCTGTCTCCCAATTGCCTGCATGCTCCAATATTCTCCTTATGATCTCAGCAAACATGTGTAACAATCTATCTTGGGACCAGCCAACTTTACCTGAGGCCAGAACTGCCTGCAGCTCACGGTATTAATACAAAAAAATGGCTGGAGGACAATGTCCTGCAGTCCTGCCACTGATCCCATTAGATTTATGTAGCAATAAAATCTTCCTGGATTTTGATGCAGTCCAATTTGTAATCCCTTTACATCGGACATGTGGTCATGGGGTAAAACTTAGTTTCACTAACACTAATGGAAAATGACTTCATGCTTGAAGCTTATAGATAAGAGAGAATAGAAGTTCAAGGATATCCTTAACTCAAGATGATATTGAAGTGAATGGAGAAGAAATTAATTAGGAAAACAAACGGAATAGAATTTCTGTTTTGAGAGTCATGGATCTTTGGCAGTCTCTACCCCAGAGAAGCTGGGTGGGTGGGAGTTATTCAAAACAGATTCTTGAAGCAGGGCAGTCAAGGGTTTCGGGGAACAAGCAGGAAGGTGGAGGTTTGGACAAAGTAAGATCAGTCATCATTTTACTGAATGGTGGAATGGGGTTGAGGGGCTGTACAGCTACTTACAGCTCCTGTTTTTTTTATTGTGCTGAATGTGATTGTTACATGGGTCGAAGCCAAACCTGGCAGGCTTAAATTTGATGTTACAGTACAATTTCAATGAATAACATAAGCTGATAATCTGATGTCCACAGTGTTGACTGAGTTCTACTTTTATAGTTTTTGCAATTTTTCCTATCATTCTCCATTGTATATCCATGGGAGCAGTCACAGTTGATTCCTTCCTGGGGCACCTCTATCTCAGTTTTGGCCAAGGTTGATTGTAGGGGTATTTACTTGGATAACATTGTCATGTGCTAATCATTTTTTTTTTTTTTTTTTTTTTTTTTAAGATTAGCAAAAAACATGTCCAAACTTTGGTAGCAAAATACCTCTATGGATAGATTCAAATTCTCAACCATTATCTAAATGCACAACTTCTGTTGGAGTTCCTTGTTCTCTGACCCTGAAGTTGTTTTATAAAAGCTCCTGTTCTATAATAGATTCTGCATTAGTGTGAACTTCACTGTAAATTTAGTATATAACTCAAAAGTCAGACTGGTAACGTAATGTCCTGAAGAAATTAAATTCTTTTCAGTAATGTTGCTATCAAATGTGATGCAAGTTGAGGGCCTAGAGTCATAGAGATCTACAGTGCAGAAAAGGCCTTACAGTCTGTGCTGAGCAAAACTACTAACTATTCTAATCACATTTTCCAATACTTGGCCTATAGCTTGTATGCCTTGGCATTTCAAGTGTACATCTAAATAGGACTCCGGCATTATGAGGGCTTCTGCCTCCACCTGCAATGAGTTTCAGGTTCCACCACCTTCAAGGTAAAATACTTTTCCCTCACCTACTGTCCTAAATCCCCTGCCCCTTATCTTAAATCTATTCCCCCAGTCATTGATCCCACCACCAAGGGGAAAAGTTTCTTCCTGTCTATGCCCTTCATAATCTTACGACCGCAATCATGTTCTCCATTCAGTCTCCTCTGCTCCAAGGAAAACAATCCCAGTTTATCCAATCTCTGTAAATAACTAAAACTCTTCAGCTCAGGCAACATCCTGGTAAATCTCATCTCTACCCTCTCTACCCTCTCTAGTGAAATTACATCCTTCCTAGAATTGGATTCAAGAACCGCATGCATTATTCTAGTTGTAGTCTAAGCAATGTTTTATACAGTTCCAGCATCATGTCCTTGCTCTTAAATTTTACGATTTGGCTAATAAAGGCAAATGTCCCACATGCCGCCTTGACCACTTTGTCCACCTATCCTGCTACTTTAAGAGTCCAGTGGGTCTGCATGCCAAGGTCTCTGATCTTTGTGCTTCCCAATGTCCTATCATTCATCATGTGTTCCCTTGCCGCCTTTGTCCTGCCCTAGTGCATTACCTCACACTTACCTGGATTGAATTCCATTGATCAGCCCACATAACCAGCTGGTATATATCCTCCTGTAATTTAACTTAAGACTATCATCCTCACTATTTACCACTGCACTAATTTTTGTATCATCCTGATTCGTACTGGTCAACTCCCCTACATTCAAGTTTAAATCGTTTATATATTCCAACACTGATCCCTGCGGAACTCTACAGGACACAGGCTTCCAATCATAAAAACATCCCTCAACCACCACCCTCTGCTTCCAGTCAATCAGCCAAGTCAGTGTTCCGTTTTCCAAATTTCCCTGGATCCCAATGGCCCACCCTTGTCTTGTCACTTCCTAAACTTGTGCAGTCTTTTTTTAAAGTTAATACGTGGAAGTTTTCTAAATTTTAAAAGATATACTGCCCAGATAAGCATGCTCAGAAAGCTATCCACATTTCAATGAGGAGATCCAGTAGTGGCAGTATACTTGTGGTTTTCAGGGCATGCGCAAGCAAATTTAAGAATTTCTGCATATAAAATCGTTCTCCTGGCCAGTCACCCTTTATACAAGATAGATTCTAAAGGACCTTGATAGGGTTAGATACCAAGTGATTGTTTTCCCAATGGCTACGGAGTTTCGAACATGAGGGCACAGATCTTTGGAATTCACTGAGGATTGTGAATGCTCCATCATTCAGTATACTCAAGGGTGGGATTGAAAGACTCTTGTTCTGTAGAATTCTAGGGAGTATGGGGCAGACAGGTAAATGGAATTAATGCTGAAGATCAGCCATGTTCATATTGAATGGCAAAGCAAGCCTGATAGGCCATTTGATCTTCTACTGCTACTGTTTATGTTCTTGTATATATACGCACACAGCATGCAACTGAATTGCCAGAAGTGAAAAAATGCATGGTCTGAAGCAATTGGTTAAGTAACTTATAAAATATTTAAGTAGTACAATTTTTTTTTGGCTTGCATAAAATGTATTTTACACCTTTTAGTGTGTTGTGAACTTCTTCTCCTCACTAAATTTTTAAATATTCCTGCAGGGGTACCAACATTTCTGGTTCTTGCCAGTGGCACATCTACACGAGTGTACATACCATTTCCGTGTTGCAGCACCAGTAAGTCCATCTGCAACTAACTTAAAAGCTGAGATCAAACTGCAGCACTTGTCAAAACAGAAACTGTATGTAAATTGTATCTTTACCTGCTTAATCATTGAGTCTTCTCTATTGTACAGGGTCTGGCAGACTGCAGAACAAATCAGAACTTTGCTGGAATATTCTTCACAGATTACTACTTGTACTTTTATCGACAATGCAGCTAATTCAGAAGAACAAATCCTATATATGTATTGATCTATATTGAAGTACATTCTTTTCATATAGGATTTCATATAGCTTCTTTAGTTATTTAACACACATTAATCGACCAGGTTAATTCTCAGATATAAAATGCACATTATGTGCCAATTATGATTCTTGTCACCTCGAGGAATCTGAAACCTGTGTTTCATTGAGTGGCATCAAACTGGAATGGAAAAACAACACATTTTTACATAGATACGCCACTTGTATTTTACAGGAATTGCTAAGAGTGAAAATTAATTTAATTTGTTTTTACTTCTGTGAAGTTTATAAATTAATAAAATTGAGGTAGTCTAAATTCTTGTTTTTTGTTCGCTAAGTGCAAGTCTCGTTGAATTTGGAATAATTCTTGCTGTGAGGCAAAGGAAGTTTTCTCAACATATCTCACCAAACTAAACATGCAAATTGGTATTAGCATGTTACGTTAAGTTTCTCATCTAGTTTCTGGCCCATCTTACCATGTGCTGTTACCAGAGCATCTTGCCACTCACTGGTGATCCTGAAACTGACTGGCATCCCTGGCACTGGTGCCATATTTAAAAGGCCATTGTGCCTTTGGAGAAGCACTGTCAGTCCGGAGTTGCTCTGCAAGGTTTCTGACACTTGCTCCGGATATTGCAGACAGGAAATCGGAACCGCGCTTTGTGGATGTGGTCCTGCTGCACAGGGTGGTGTACAGGCTCAATTCTGACCTCTGAGGACCAGCAGTGGTGGCTCTGTCACCAGACCATGTCAGCCAGGTCCACGGTTTCCACCCAGGTTAGAGCAGACTCAGCTGTCTGGCAGAATGTCCAGCAATGTAGAAATAAGCATCAATGTCCTTCTTCATTCCACCAGTGTAGGTACATCACACTCACTCTACCTCTGCTAGTGCATCCACTTCCACCAAGGCTCATACTCTACCATGCCCATCTCTACTCACCCTCACTCACACCAAACTGTCGCACGACTTGCCCTGCATGTCCTCTGTGTCGCTTGCTCACTTGATTGGGAAGGCTCCCCACTGACACGCATAGTTGTGCCACCCACTTCCATCATCTGGAATACCTGCCTCTGTCATTGCTGAAGCAGAACAACCCACACAGGAAGAAAGAGTCAAGATCGGATGCCCATAATTCCACTCCTATTGTGACAGGCAGATTCTGACTGACAGATGGAACACTGTTTGCTATTCTGGAAGGATGTGCTTACGCTGGAGAGAGTGCAGAGGAGATTCACCAGGATATTACCTGGGATGAAAAGTCTATTACGAGGAGAGACGGGATAGGCTGGGTTTGTTTTCCTTGGAGCAGAGGAGGGGATCTGATTGAGGTATACAAAATTGAGAGATATGGACAGGGTAGATTGTGAGAATCTTATTCCCACAGCAGACGAGTCTAAAACCCAAGGGCATAAATTGAAGGTGAGGAATGAGTGAAGAGCCCAGAGATGCAATGCGGCCCAGTCCATAGGCCTCTTGGGAGACAGAAGCAACAACCAAATTCATTGTACTACTGGCTCTACTGCACAAGGGAGGAGTAAAAAGTGTGGGAATACAATAGTTGTAGGGAATTTAATTGTCAGGGAAGTACTTCAATTTGGGGACCCAAGTCTCAGCCTCCTTTGTTCCAAGGAAATCAAAACCCACCTTATTAGTGTGGCCATCAGAACTGCACACATTATTCCATCTCTGGCCTAACCAATGGTCTACAAACTTGCAACAAGATTTTCTCGCTCTTAGACGCTAAGTCTTGGATAATGAAGGTAAGCATCCTATATGCTGCCTTCATTATCCTGTCTACCTGCACTCGTCAGTAGAAAGAGCACGAGATAATGGATGAACATGTGGTTGAAGAGAGAATGTGAGGGGGAGGGTTCCTGAGATATTGGGACCAGTTCTGGAAGTAGTGCGAAATGGACAGGATACACCTGAGCAGGAGCAGGACCATGACTCCGCTAGATGGAGAATTTGCTCAAACTAAAATGGCAGGGGCATGAGAACGTGTGCAAAGAGTCAGAGGAATTGAGGATAGGATGACAGGACAGAAAGGGAAATAAGAAAAGTGACAGGCAGAGAAATCAGGGCCAGGATCAAACAGGGACACAGTGAAATGTAACCGGAGTGGGACAAGTAATGCTAAAAAGATGAGTCTTAAGACATTGTGCTTAATGCAGGGAGCATTCATTATAAAGTGGATGAATTTATTCCGCAAATAAATGAAAATAGGTCTGATATAGGTGGGAATTCGTGGACATGACTGCAGGGTGACTAGGCTGGGAACTGAATGCCCAGGGGTATTTAATATTTAGGAAGGACAGAGAGAAAGGAAAAGTGGTTGATTTTCATTGCTAGTTAAAGGGAAAATTAATGCAATAGTGAAGAAGGTTATTAGCTTAGATGCTGTGGACTCTGTATGGACAAAGCTGATCAACACCGAGGGGCAAAAAACATTATTGGAGGTTATATATTGACCCCCAAAATGTAGGGGTGATTTTGGGAAAGGCGTTAAACAGGAAATTAGAGATGCATGCAGTAACGGAGCACCTGTAATTTTGGGTGACTTCTGCCCAATTTATATGCAGATTAATCAAACTGGTAACCATACAGTAGGGGAGCAATTCCTGGAGTGTATACAGGATAGTTTACTGGATCAATAGGTATAACTTGAGGATCCAACTATAGGGCAGGCCATCCTAGACTGGGTATTGTGTAATGAAAAAGGAATAATTGGTAATGTGGTTATGCAGGGCCCCTTTAGCATGAACAGCCATAATATGATAGAATTCCCCATTAAGATGGATAAGGACATAATTGATTCTGAGTCTAGCGTCCTGAATCTAAATAGAGGAAATGACGATAATGTGACACCAAGTTGGTTATGATAGACTGGGAAATGTTGCTTAAAGGGATGACAGTGGAAAGGCAATGGAAAGCATTCAAAGTGCTCATGGGTGAACTGCAGGAATTGTTTGTTCCTGGGCGCAAAACTGCAAGTAGAAAGGTGTCCGAACCATGGCTTATAAGGGGTGCTAGAGATTGTATTAGAGCCAAGAAAAAGGCATGCAAATTGGGCGTTAAAAAAAACCACACAACAAGCATAGACGTAGTAGAATTTTCCCAATGGTGGGAGTGGCCAGAACAAGGGATCATAGTTTAAAGATATGGGGTATACCATTTAGGACTGAGATGAGGAGAAATGCTTTCAACCAGAGAGTGGTGAACCTGTGGAATTTGCTACCACAGTGAGCCGTCGATTCAAGGGATCAAAGGATATAGGGGAAAACAGGAATAGATGATTGAGTTGGATGATCAGCCCCGATTGTAATGAATTGGCAGAACAAGTGTGAATGGCCTGATGCTGCTCTATTTTCTGGTTCCATGTTTCTATGAGCTGGGTCCGTGCCCTGGAGCACAAAGCGTTTTTCCTGCGGGACTAGAATAATAATTACTCTCGCAGCCGTGGTGCAGAAGCGTCCTATAAGGGTGATAACAAGGTGTAGAGCTGGCTGAACACAACAGGCCAAGCAGCATCACAGGAGCAGGAAGGCTGACGTTTCGGGCCTAGACGCTTTTCTGAAGAAGGGTCTAGGCCCGAAACGCCAGCCTTCCGGCTCCTATGATGCTG